GACATTAGGGTTTTGGTTGATTTGTATCTTAAGGTGTTATTCTAGTACGGACTCTTTTTTTGATCGATCCGAAAGAATAGCTTTGTGGTGGTTTCGTACCCGACCATAATCTCTACGTTTGTTCTCCGCTATTAGTGGCTTCGGAGTGACTCTTTGTTGCATGTTGAGGGCTTGTCATATGTTCTATCTATGTTATTATTGTTGAGAGAACTTACACTAGCGAAAGTATGAACCCTAGGCCTTGTTTCCTACCATTGCAATACCATTTACGCTCACTTTTACCGCTTGTTACCTTGCTGTTTTTATTATTTCAGATTACAATAACCTATATCTACTATCTATTTTGCACTTGTATCACCATCTCTTCGCCGAACTAGTGCACCTATACAATTTATCATTGTATTGGGTGTGTTGGGGACACAAGAGACTTTTTGTTATTTGGTTGCAGGGTTGTTTGAGAGAGACCGTCTTCATCCTATGCCTCCCACGGATTGATAAACCTTAGGTCATTCACTTGAGGGAAATTTGCTACTGTCCTACAAACCTGTGCACTTGCAGGCCCAAAAACATCTACAAGAAGAAGGTTGCATAGTAGACATCAAGTCCCGAGGCAACCACAAGGGTCCAGGGCGCCCCTGCCTTGTGGGTCCCACGGGAGTCCTCCAACCCTAATCTTTGGCCTATAAAATTCAGAAATATTCCCAAACCAACAGAAGGGTCCACCAAAATAGTTTTACGTCATCGTAACCTTCTGTACCCGTGAGATCCCATCTTGGGACCTTTCCCGGCACCCGGCCGGGGGGGGGGGATTCGATCATGGAGGGCTTCTACATCAACCCTATTGCCCTTTGGATGAAGCGTGAGTAGTTTACCTCAGACCTACGGGTCCATAGCAAGTAGATATATGGTTTCTTATCTCTCTTTGACCCTCAATACCATGTTCTCCTCGATGTACTTGGAGATCTATCTGATGTAGTGTTCTTTTGCGATGTGTTTGTCGAGATCCGATGAATTGTGGATTTATGATCATATTATCTATGAATATTATTTGAATCTCCTCTGAATTCTTATATGCATGATTTGATATCTTTGTATTTCTCTTCGAATTATCGGTTTGGTTTGGCCAACTAGATTGGTTTTTCTTGCAATGGGAGATGTGCTTAGTTTTGGGTTCAATCTTGCAGTGTCCTCACCCAGTGACAAAGTATGGGTAGCGAGGCACGTATTTGTATTGTTGCCATCAAGGGTAAAAATATGGGGTTTTCATCACATTGCTTGAGTTTATCCCTCTGTTGGGGAACGTAGTAATTTCAAAAAATTCCTACGCACACGCAAGATCATGGTGATGCATAGCAACGAGAGGGGGAGTGTATCTTCATACCCTTTAAGATCGCTAAGCGGAAGCGTTTATCAACGCGGTTGATGTAGTCGTACATCTTCACGATCTGACCGATCCAAGTACCGAACGCACGGCACCTCCGAGTTCTGCACACGTTCATCTCGATGACGTCCTCGCCTTCTCAATCCAGCAAGACGGGCGAAGTAGTAGATGAGTTTCGGCAGCACGACGGCGTGGTGACGGTGTTGGTGAAGAACAATCTCCGCAGGGCTTCACCTAAGCACTACGGAAACTATGACAGATGATAAACTAGAAGGGACGGGGTTGCCGGCACACGGCTTGGTGTTTCTTGATGTGTCTTTGGTGCTAGCCCTGCCCCTCTATTTATATGTTGAACCTTGGGGTCGAAACTTGGAGTAAAAGCCTCCACAAAGTCGGTTTCACCCGAAAGGCAAGAGTCCTTCTCGGACTCCAGGGCCAGACGCTAGGGTTCTCGGCGTCTGGACCCAGACGCCAGGGACCCTGGCGTCTGGCCCCTGGACTCCGCAAAACTTCCTTTTGCGCTTTCCAAAAACCTTGTGGGCTTTCCCCTTTGGCCCAAATAACGTGTTCTCGTACCCAAACATTTCGGGAAACATCCGGAACCCCTTCCGGTGAATTCCGGAACCCTTCCGGAGATCAAACACTATTATCCCATATATCAAACTTTATCTTCGGACCATTCCAGAGTTCCTCGTCATGTCCATGATCTCATTCGGGACTCCGAACAACATTCGGTTACCAACATACATAACTCATATAATACTATATCGTCAACGAAACGTTAAGCGTGCGGACCCTACGGGTTCGAGAACTATGTAGACATGACCGAGACACGTTTCCGGTCAATAACCAATAGCGGGACCTGGATGCCCATATTGGCTCCCACATATTCTACGAAGATCTTTATCGGTCAAACCTCATAACAACATACATTGTTCCCTTTGTCATCGGTATGTTACTTTCCCGAGATTCGATCGTCGGTATCCAATACCTAGTTCAATCTCGTTACCGGCAAGTCTCTTTACTCGTTACGCAATGCATCATCCCGTAACTAACTCATTAGCTACATTGCTTGCAAGGCTTATAGTGATGTGCATTACCGAGAGGGCCCAGAGATACCTCTCCGACAATCAGAGTGACAAAACCTAATCTCGAAATACGCCAACCCAACATGTACCTTCGGAGACACCTGTAGAGCTCCTTTATAATCACCCAGTTACGTTGTGACGTTTGGTAGCACACAAAGTGTTCCTCCGGTAAACGGGAGTTGCTTAATCTCATAGTTACAGGAACATGTATAAGTCATGAAGAAAGCAATAGCAACATACTAAACAATCAAGTGCTAGGCTAACGGAATGGGTCATGTCAATCACATCATTCTCCTAATGATGTGATCCCGTTAATCAAATGACAACACATGTCTATGGTTAGGAAACATAACCATCTTTGATTAATGAGCTAGTCAAGTAGAGGCATACTAGTGACGTTATGTTTGTCTATGTATTCACACACATATCATGTTTTCGATTAATACAATTCTAGCATGAATAATAAACATTTATCATGATATGAGGAAATAAAGAATAACTTTATTATTGCTTCATCCATGACGCGTCGATGGGCTCGGCGATGACCTCCGCCCTAGCATGCTGGTCGTCTTGGTCTTCTTGCACCGATCTGGAAACCTTTGGGGATTGCTTTGGGAACTGGTGGCTAGCCTTACTCCCTTAGCACGAAAGAGGAAAGCCTCCTCTTGTGCGCCTGTTGGCATCGCCCGTCGTCGCGCGCGTCACCCACGTGAAGACGCGGGGCCACGCGACTAGGCTGAGCATCCTCTAACTCGTTTGCCTCTGCGAGGGGCCTCAGGAGGCAACCTCGGAAGACCACCTCGCGAGGCTCCTGGTGGCGCCTCAATCCTGCCTGGGGCGCTTGCTGACATATGCCTCACGAGGTGGGGTCCTCGCGGGGAATCTTGCCCGCAAGCTTGCTAGTGAACATTCCTTGGGCTTCTTGGTATGTGTCACGTACTGGGCCGCAGGCAGACGGGCCTGGGTACCCCAGTCCCATGGGCCCCACATGCACCTTGTCCATCTCCGGTGGACGTGAGGTCCATGATGGAAAAGGAGGCGCCGGCGCTCTCATCGTCCCACCAGGCGGCTCGAAAGTTCACGGGCGGCTCGTAGGACGCGCAACTCGTGTTGTTCTCATCCGCGATCACCTGCAGCTATGCCTTGGCGGCAGCCTATTCCTGGCGAGAGACGGCTTGAGCACGGGCGGCCTCGTAGATCACATTCTACTCCGTGGCGAAGTTGGGGTTCTTCGTGGCCATGACCTCCTCCCTCGCGTGCTCGCCGTCGATTAGGCCCTCTGGCAGCCGGTGCTGCTCGAGGAGCAACAAGTTGTACCGTTGTTCCTCATGCGCCTCCTCGAACACCAACACAGGCGCCAGCGCGGGCTGCTCCTCCACCATGGTGGTGTTGAAGTGTGCCTACGCCTGCTCCATGGTGAAGCCGGCATGCACATGCGCATGGTCCGGTGCGGTGTCGTCGGAACCCGTTTCCACCGTGGGGTCATCCTCGTCGTCGGAGACCTCAGTCAAGCTGGTCGGCATGCTGGCCTCGATCCACCTGGCATGGCGGCTCTCCAGGTGGCCGCAAGGGTGACTATTGCGGCCACCTCATGCTTCATCTCCATGGAAAGACTCTCCTACAGAGCGGTGCCGCCTGCAGTCATGGCGGATGTGGTGCAAGGGACGAGGATGTGTAGCGGTTTGTGTTGTGGCGTGGAGTTAGCTGGATGTGGCCGCCATTAAATAGCGGATTCCGGTGAGGCCAGGCGTCCGGGTGCGTCAATGCACGGAGCCGGAGTGGATTTCTCGGCCGGTGAGTCTGCTTAATGGCGGCATACGGACAGACAGGACATTCAACGGGCGTGGTAGATATCCGTCCCCTCCCGTCCAGTAATAAGTCTCCGACATTGAAGAGGCACAAACACAAGGGACGCGTCGCGGGCGACGCTCTCGGCCGGCGCGCTGTTTCAAATGCGGAGCCAGTGAGAGGTCACGCCCGCTCCAGTCCGACGTCAATATGGAGCGGCTACACTATAGCGGTATGAATGCAGTCAGCTGGCGCCAAACGGGAACGCGCGCGGACAAGGAGGGGAGCGTTTGGATAGGTCTGGGCGGTCAGAAGCGGTCGTTGGTGCTATCTAGACGCCCACAAAGACCTCCTAGTTTATTTCCGGTTTGTGGAAGAAAATACGTCCGGACCACCCTGCAAACTGATGCCGGAGCGTTAGATGGCACAATAAGTCCGGACCGCACAGTGCGGACAGTCACGGACGGTTTGAGCGAGATGCCCTAAACGTCTGGATAGTAGAGTAATAAGCATCAAGCATCCGTGTCATTTGGTCTTTTGTTTCATATGTTAATCCACAAGTGCCGGCTTTCCACATAGCCGCCTTGGCCGGCCGCCAACTCCACTTCTAGTTTAGAAACGAAAAGTAATGCCGTGTACTGGACAGACCCGCCAAAGCTAGCACCATCTCCAGTAACTTAAACCATAAGATCGTGTAAGAGGGAGCACAGAAGAGCCAATCGGCTTGTTCTTAACAATCATCCATGGAGGCGGCACTGGATAGCGGTGCAAAGGCAAAGCACATCATCCTCGTCCACGGCGTGTGCCACGGAGGCTGGAGCTGGTACAAGGTGGCGGCGGGGCTACGGTCTGCGGCTGGGCACGGCTGCCGCGTCCACGCGCCGGACCTAGCCGCGTCGGGCACCGATGACCGCCGGCTGCCGGAGGTGGCAACGTTCAGCGAGTACACGGGGCCGCTGCTCGATGTACTCCGGTCGCTCCCGGCTGGGGAGAAGGCGGTGCTCGTTGGCCACAGCCTCGGAGGCCTTAGCGTCGCCCTCGCCTCCGAGATGTTCCCGGACAAGGTCGCAGTCGCCGCGTTCCTCTCCGCTTACATGCCGGACTGCGCGTCCCCGCCGTCGCATGTCCTCATACAGGTATGATCTGATCCACCCCGTTGTCTGCACATACTATACATTTTAACGAAACTTTTTTTTTTGAAAAACCCCCACCTTACATTAATTAATTTAAAACATCATACAGTCATTCATTACAAAATTTGCCACACAGGGCGGGATAATATTAAAAAGAATACCATCAATCTATTCTCAAAATTAAACTTTGCAATCTCGTGAGCCATCATATTCGCCCTCCTGTTAATCTTGAATATCAATAAACAACACTTGTTTTAGAACGTGGGAAGTACTACATAAAAAGAAGCCTCATTGTCAAAATCATCAAATATCAGTTACAAGTTATGACCTACTCACCCATATAAACAGAGTATAATTTTGGAAACTGTCGAAGAGTATCTATCGGGCGAGTAGGTGACCTGCAGAATCTGAAATATCATGCATGACCTGCAGAATTTAGGGGAGTAAGCACTGTACCTTTTGAGCAAACAGTTTAAATAAAAAATACAGTACATCAAACCGAGTAATAAACTGGAATCTTTACCTACTAATAAAGCAATTAGTGATTCTGGTGGTACGTCGTCGCTGTTTTTACGAAAAAGTCCTTGTGATTTAGAGTAATAAACCCGCAGTCCATATAATAAAGTCAATCGAACCGGTATGACGAGAAAGAAAAAAAAACAGCCTCCCGATCTAGCTCGTACGCCGCCGCCTCGTGCTCTGCTCCTCCCCGAGGCCCCTCGCTCGATCTGGACCAGCAGGTCCCGAGCGCCTCGGCCTGCTCCTCACGCCGGCGTCCCGCGCCACTGCCGCCGACCTCCAGCCGTTGTCCATTACCCTCTCCCCCACACTCTATCTCTCTTCTTCTCCCTTCCTTTTCTCTCTCTCAAATCTTGTCTCTGTCAGGAACGACAGCGCCATGGATCCCGATGTGAAGCTTCACTGCACCCTGATCTGACCTGGGAGGGGGTCGCGTTGTGCTCGGGCGCCGCATCAGGTGGCGGTGGCGAGGTGGGAGGGGAGCACGGAGATGGGCGCGCGGAGACGAAGGAGGAGAAAAATGGAGAGGCGGGGAGGCTACGCTCGGGGTCCGCATCAGGCGGCGACAGCGAAGCGGGAGGTGCGCACGGAGACGAAGGACCCGAGAATGGAGGCGTCCGGGAGCGAGGACTTCGCCGGCGTCAAAGCCACTGCCAGGCGGGACGCGCAGGCGCGCGAGGGGCGCATGGCTCCTCTCCTGGTGCGGCACACGAGGGAATGAGGTGGGGATCGAGCTGCCGGCACACCACCCGACGTTCACCCTTGCTCCACACTTCGTCGGAACTCCATCTGTTGGTTCTGCACTTAGGTATTCACTGAAGCAAACTTTGTAATTTCCTGATATATCTTAATGATTGTTGAAGCCAAACTCGCATCTCATCTGCTTTTTAATAGTTTTGCATAATTTACTTTCTTGAACTGATGGTCTGAACTCTGAAGTGGTGTCTTATACATGGTTAGGTAATGTAGTGGGGAATTTTTCTGATGTACAACCTATATATCAGAAATGGTTGAGCTTGGAATGATCTGTCCCGGTTATTAGTGTTTGTGTTCCTGTAGATCAAATATCTATTTGTAATTTTGGATTAGTATATTTGCTTTGAAAGTCAGAATTGCATTTACTGTTTTCTTTTTGGCGCAAAAAGAAGTAGTTAGTGTTAAACATATGTTAGACAGAGCTACTTACCAATGGCAATTTGTTTGGAGATCTGATGTTTTTTGTACATTGTTGTGGCTGAAAACCTGAAACAATTTGTGTAACTGGTAGTCTGTTGCTTTACTTCTACACTGCTTAATTAACCTGCGATTAATTTTGTTATTTGATTTTTGGCAAGAATCATCGGACTATAGATTATTGATCATGCATGAAACGTTTTAAAGGAAGCGAATCTACATTTGCATGCTCGGTTTGAAGACTTGCCAGCTGGGTGAAGAAGCTTTCTGACAAACATCCAAATCACTCTAATAGGCCCAAGTTGAGCATATGTTAGATGGTCTGGATGACATGGATGGTGCCGAGGATGTCCCTTTTGATGAGCTCATAGGCATGCAAGGCTTAGTATTTCACTTGGTTGAGAATGCAATTACAATAAGGATCTCTTCTTTGTCTTATTTTAGTTAGACAAATGTGTTTCCTTCATGTTTACATGTATCTGATGTTGTTTCATTTTATTTTCTTAAGATATGTATTACATACAAGTCTGATGGATTCAAGAGAATGAAGAGTAAATAATACTATACTATAAATACGTCAACTACAGATAACCCTCCCAACTACAATGTTGCACCTGACAACCTCCTACTCAACGAGGCCAAGCTATCTGCAGGGGACCATGCCCCTGGACGTTCCTAAGAGGTATGGACCTAAGGATGGCCTTGCTTGCACTATATTGTAGCAATATAATCCATAATGCATGCAGTTTGCTTTCTCCCTTTCTCCCATGGACTCTGAATATGATATCCACCGTCCTTTGTAGGTTCATTAGTTTACTTTTTGTTGACGCAAAAATTAATATGTAATTGTAACCGCAGGTGTGCTGCTAGATGACCTTCTTGCTGCTGAAACAACAAATGCTTGTAACTGCAGCTCCTGCTAACATGCAAGCTGGATGAGCACCGGGTTGCTACGATGATGAACAAACATGCAAATGACTGCAGAAACAACAGCTGATGGAGCTGTGGTTCTTGGAAACCCAGTTGCTCCTCCTGTTAATGGGGATGTGTATGCGGATATCAGCCCTGAGAATGTTGTGGTCCAGTGACACCGAGGTTTGCATTATTTCTGTCCTAGACTTGTGCAGACCATCTTTCTATGGATGGTCTTCTGTTCATATTAAATGTGAGCTACCGCGTACTGAGATGTGTTTCGAACTTATTTTGTGTGTGTGTGTGCAGAAGATAGTGCAAATGTGCTAATTATTTGGTTGAAGCATCTGCTGCAGAGGTTGAGGTAATTAGTGCTACTTTAGCTGCTATAAAGGCCAGACAAGTTGGAGATGAGATGAGCATTTTATCATATTGCTTTGCCTGTAATAACCAAAATTGATTGATTTAGTTTCACACAACATAGATAATTATATCGTCAGGTTCAATTTTACTTATGAAAGTTGATCATTTCTTATCTTGTTAGATTTCCTCTTTGTAAGTTCTAGGACTTTAGTTAATTGAACATCTTAAGGCATGCATGCCAGAACACTTGATGCAATTCTGTTCCTACTATTCTTACCTGATACTACCTGGACGACCTTCAAGCATCAATAACTTAATCCTTTTAGGTTTTCTACTTCTTTCTCCAGTACAGACATAATATTGTTTGGTGCTTCCCAATATTTGGACGTGAAAGTAGAGAAGCTTTACATTTCAAGAAATATTAGATTATCAATAAGAAAATATGGTCCAAGCCGGACTACTACTTCTAAATGTTTTGTTTTTCACCAAAGGGGATATTTTACTTCTCCTAATCATGGTCGCCATGTAACCCGATGATAGTAGGATGGTAAATAACTACATCCTTTTTCGGCATGGCAAAAAAAAATACATCCTACCCATTTGATGATTTGCAACTGCAGCTGAACAATAATGAAAGAAAAAAGAGTGCATGCTTTACATAATGTACCTACAACAACAATAGGTTGCCCCACCAAACATCACCAGAGGACTGAGAAGGAAAACGACGCTTCCTCAGTCAGGTTCTATTGGCCGTTGTAGCATTAGCATGATGAAGATTCTGGAACAGTGCATGACATGTCCAAGCCCAAAGTCTTCCCTTAGTGTGAAGCACCTGAGCTGGCGTCGAGCAATATCCCTTGAATATTATTTCATTGTGTTCTTTCTAGGTGTGCAACCATATCAGCTGCACCAAGGAGCTCCATGCACGGAGCACGGCGGTACTACTTCCCACAAAACCTATTATAAACAGTGTGCTAGCTACCAGGAATGTGCAGATTCATGGAAGAGCTTTGTGCAAAAAATTAGGAGAAAGAGAAACATAAGAGACATTTCAGCAAGTTTACTTATAGAGGCAAAAAATAATTTTACTTATCACTGTAATACGAGTTGTAATAAACGAGAAAAGACGTGTGATATTATCTTTTTTCTCCCGTTGCAACGCACGGGCATTTGTGCTAGTAAGAACAAAAAACCCAATCAGGGCTACATCAAGATAATTGGAAGCTACTACAACAAAAAAATGTAATATTGTATATGACGATCGGAATCGTATGTGGTCAGGTTATACCTGTCTGCGGCGATTGACTCGTTCACAACTACAAAGAACTACCAATATCACTTTTATTAACTCAAACCATCGGCGGACACTTTTTTGTACAATGTAAAAAAATGTTTGCATGTTGTAAAAAATGTGTCATCTGAGGCGACTCGGGGGCAACCCTAGGGCTGCCACCGAGCTTTCCCCCTCCATCTTCCTCCTCTCCACCGCTACCGGAGGGGCGCTCGGCGCTGGCGCGTGGCCCGATGGTGGTGGCGGTGGTGATCTGGCGTCTCCTCCTCGGGGGAGGATTGTGGCTCCCGGGGCGGCAGCTCTGGGCGGTGGCACGCGAGGCGGCCTGGGCGGCGGGCGGCGCCGGCGGGTGCTGGTGGGTGGCCTCCCATGGCTGTGCGGGCAGCGTGGAGGTCGCGGCCGACGACGCAGCGTTGACTCGTCGCAGTCCGCCGGATCCCTTGAAGAAGCTTCTGTCCCGGCTCGATCTGTTCTGATCTGCGCCGGCGGTGGTCCTTGGCGGCAGAGTCCGTCGTCTTGTGCTGCCAGGCGGCCGGATCTGGCGTTTGGGTGTGGTTTCGGGGGAAACCCCTGGCCAGCGTGGCGGCCCCCCAAAGTCGACGTCTTTGGCGCCGATCCCCTCCCTGGAGGCTTTGGGGTGGACCCTCCCCTCCCGACTTACCCTTGAGCTCCGGCAAAAGCCGGCTCTCCCCTGGTCTGGGCGTCGACGACACCTTGGTGGCGTGCTCCTTCTTGAAGGCGGCGGTCATGATTGACTCTTGGTGGTGGAGTGGCCGGTGTCCCGGTTCCGAAGCACGACAGCTTGATGTTCCTGCTTCATCCTGCTCGGGCTCGCCCTTGCGTGGTGAACCTTCTTCGGTCTTCTTCATGGTGGCGCGTCTTCGTCCGGCAACTCGCATTCTGTGCTTCGTGTTGCCTCTGCTGACTTTGGTTCTCGTCTGGATGGGCTTCCGTTGCTCGTGGGTCAGCGATGTCTGCTTCTCTTATGGCAGCTCGGTGACCTTGAGATGGGTTATGTGCTAGCCACTCTGTCGGTCGCCGGTGCGGCACCCATCGAGCCTGGGTGAAAGGGTAGTGGCTCTTTGCGACGGTGGAGACATCTCAAGTGTTTGGCCGTGGATGTAGCCACGCTCAATGCTTGCATGGGGTGTCCTTCCTCTCGTGCTCCCAGTTGGCTAGTTGGTGTAGGCATAGTGCTCAACGGTGTTGTGTGCTTGGTTCCGGTTCTTGCCACTGTGTTGTTCTGCCTAGCACCTTGTATCTTCTTTGCGCTTTGCTTTGCATTCATCCCCTTTGTAATGTGGTGCCCTTATAATCTTGGCCGGTTGAGTGGTTTTGTTAATTCAAAATCGGGCTAGGTTCGAGCTCTTCTCGGCCTCGGCTGGCGCCTTTTCTCTAAAAAAAGTGTCACAACCTTAACAGAATATACGTGACATGTGTTTGAAAAAAGTGTATGCAAATTTGAAAATGTTGAACCATGTAAAAGAGTGTTTGTGTAGTTTTATAAAATGTTTATTGTGATTAACATGTATTTGGAAAAATATTACCATGTATTCAAAAAAGTTTTGAAAACATTTAATATAAAAATGCCCATAATGGATTTGAAAATATCAAAAGTTTATCAAAATATTTAATGTGTGCGTTAAAATGTACATTGGGTACTCAGAAAAATTAGACATGTGTACAAATGAAAAAAGAAAGAAAACGTAAAAGAAAAAAACTAAACATTTCTAATTGTCCACTTTCTCTTGTTTCTCTCATATCTCGAGTACGGGCCTCCTATATGTCTATCTACACCACTAAACATTTCTAATTGTCCACTTTCTCTTGTTGTGCGATTGATGGAGAGATATCTTAGTTTTCTTCATGTCACCATGTCCTACACCCGTTAGGGTTAGGGTGTGCCGCCACGAAATTGCACACCCGGTGACGCGCATATGCACATATTTGTCATAGAAACTGTGGAGGGGCTAGGAGTTAGATGCCAAAGATCATTACAAAATAGTGTTTGGATTTCTAGAGTCCGGTGACATTTGTGCCCAAATTCTAGTTCGTTCCGATTTGTTGTTGGTTATTGTCATTTTTTGCAAAACAGAACCCCTTACATTTAGCAAGATTAACTCGCATCCACCCATAACTAATTTCATCTATGGAACTTCTTTGTTATATTTACAAAGGAACTAACCGAAGCCCCCCGTATCGCCCCCGCCTCAAGCGACTCAGGTGGCGCTCTAACCCTAGCCACCGGGCCTCCATCTTCCCCCTACCCTCCCTCCATCGCCGCCCGAGGACGCCACCAAAGTCCGGTGGCCGGCGACGGTGGCGAGGGATCTCCTTCTTGTCTCACGATGGGAGGTGGGGCAGGACCTCTTCCCGCGGGGTGGCGTGGCCATGGTCCATATCTTGGTGGCGCAGCGGCTTGTTCCGGGCGGAGGCGTGGTCGTTGGGTGGCGGTCCGGTGGCGACGGTGCGGGCAGGACGTCGTGGAGGACCTGGTTGGAAGATCGGGCGAGTGCATGTGGAGGTGGACTTCGGCCATGGCCTGGCCGGGGTGATCGTCTCGCTTCGCGGCGGCGGATGCCGGGGCGGCCTTGATCATCCTCAGCTGCATAGATTGGATGTACCCATGTCCAAGGCGGAGCTGCTCCGACAGTCCAGCGGATTTGACCCTGGATCCCGTTCGGTACAGAGATGGTGAAGAGTGTGCTTGGGATTCATCCTAATGGCTCTTCCGGCATGGCGCGATGGGGTGGTAGCCCTCCGTCCATGCTCCAGTGGTGGCCCCCTTCGGTAGTGGCCGGAGCGTCAAGGTACACCGCGGTGGCAGTGCGGTTGTGGATGATCGTTGGATCTGGGCGGCCAACTCCGGGGCTTTGAAGGTGGTGTTGCGGATGCACAGGTTGTCGGTTGGATGTTCTTAGGAGGATCCGGGTGAAAACATGGTCTTCGTCCGGTGGCCGGAGCTGGTGACGGTGACACCCTTGGCGTCGTTTCCTTCATGAAGGCATCATCGAGGTGAAACTCCCAATTCTTTCTGCTACCTCCCGGGGAAACCCTTGATCAGTTGATCGTTTGATGGCGATGCTCTTGTGGCATTCCCTCCTTGGGGAGTT